TCGACTCAAGTAAGATAATTTTTCCATTGTTAGTTCCCGAGTGGAAAAGAAATGCCGAGTTCATGCCTAGTCCGACTAAGTTGAAATTGGCTTCGCCTAATCATCACCTTGTTTTCTTTTCAATAATGCCGACAATGAGCCCTATTTAAGCCACATTAAAATTTTTATTCTCATTCTTCTCCTATATTTTGAAATTTAAAATCAAATAATATTTATATAACACATAAATAAAGTTAGGCCTACAATTTAAAATTCAAGCTTTGTTTAGATTACCATGGCAAATTGACAATCTACTTGAGTTTTACTTTTGGCTTGGTTCCCAAACAAAAAATGTCTATTTATTTGCACCATAAATCTTAATTTTGGTTGATAAAAAGTAAAAACTAAATGACATACTATTTATTCAATATGCGCTTATAAAAATCTGGCAGTTTTCATTAATATAAACATACCATATAATTTCCTAACGGTCTTATTATTTCCTCAAAAGGAAAACTTCCAAAAACTGGAATTCCTAATCTCCTATGGATTGAACTTCAACACCCCCCTCCCCCCTCCACGAATTATTATGAACTATCTTATGCAGTAATAATTCTCTCACTCTACTTTTTCTCACTTCAATTGCGTGCCCTTTTCGTTTTTACTATATGGATTACATCCGGCGAGGAGTGATCTCACAATATTCTACACACGCAGAACCAATTGCTCATAATCAGCACTCTTCATAAAAAAAAAAAGCAACTTATGGGGGTAAAACATTGTGATGATGGATAACTTCACCTTGTTAGAAGTGAATCTCATAGAGAAGCAGCGATGACGAGATGTAATTGTTTCGATTATGCTGCAGCCGACGAAGATTTACTTGATATCTCCAGTAAGAAGGATGAAGACTCAGGTTGCTTAACTCCTGAGAAGATGTTGCTGAGCTCGATTGACGCAGTCCAGAAAGTAGTGATGGAGGAGTTGTTGTGCAAACAGGACTCCCTCTGCTAGAAAGGGAGAGAAGGAAAAAGGAGTCCGGACTTTGATGTCCATGCGGTAAACTTGGCAAGTTTATTTTGAAGTTCTCAATCAAGGTTGAGGTGGGATTTCAGAGGAAAGGAATGAAGGAATGAAAGACTGACCAGCATCGGATGAATATGATCATCTCTTGATGATTAAAATCCTAGGTTTCACTAAATATATCGCTATGTCCTTAATGTATTTCATGTAGNTCCATGCGGTAAACTTGGCAAGTTTATTTTGAAGTTCTCAATCAAGGTTGAGGTGGGATTTCAGAGGAAAGGAATGAAGGAATGAAAGACTGACCAGCATCGGATGAATATGATCATCTCTTGATGATTAAAATCCTAGGTTTCACTAAATATATCGCTATGTCCTTAATGTATTTCATGTAGTCAGAATTTGTATAACCCCTCAAAATTATTTTCTATATTGTATTCCCAAATCACAAGTTCCCTTAATGTATCTAAGAAGTCATTCCATAGCTTCGCTTCACCTAGATTAGACATGTATTTAATCAATACACTTATTGAGTAGCCAAATCGGGTCTGGAACAGACCATTAGATACATAATAGACCCAACTGCATTAGGATATGACACTCTTGCCATTCTTTTAAACTCATTTTCAGACTTGGGACATTGATTATTTAAAAGTTTAAAATAATTTGCTAAAGGTAAACTCACACTTTTAGCATCAAACATAGCAAATTTTTCCAATAATTTCAAAATATAAGATTTTTGACTGAAACTTAGTGTTCCCTCTCTTCTATTCCTTTTAATTTTAATATCTAAAATCTTTCTAACAGAACCTAAGTCTTTCATTTGAAATTCTGCTTTCAATTTGGTTTTAATTGACTCGTCTCTTTTATGTCATCAACATAAAAAAGAAGATAGAGTGAATTCTCACCTCCACTTCCTTTGCAATAAAGATAGCTATCAAAATTACTTCTTTTAAAACAAAGTCCAAACACAAAGGTATCAAATCTCTTGTACCATTATCTTGAAACTTGTTTTAAGTCATATAAAGACTTTTTAAGGAGGCATACTAAGTCTAAATTTTTGTTTACTTCAAAACTTTTGGTTGTTCCGTGTAAATAGTTTTATCAAGATCACCATTTAAAAAGACAGTTTTTGCATCCAGTTGATCCAATTCCCAGTTAAACTGAGCTGCTAAGATCATAATTACCCTAAGTGTTGTAAATTTTACAACATGAGAAAAGATTTTATTGAAATCCATTCCCTTTTTTTGAGTAAAGCCTTTAGCTACAAGTCAATCCTTTTTCCTTCAAGTCTTTTAGTCAAAATCCAGGTTTTATTCTTTTTAAGTGATTTCATTTCATCTTGCATTGCGTCAATCCAATGCTTAGAATCCTTGCTTCTCATAGCTTCTTTGAAGGATTCAAGTTCATTTTCAATGAACACTTGAAAGGTCAAAAAAGACACTTCATAATCAAACTTAACAGGTGGTCTAATATGTCTTCTTTGCCTATTTCTAGCATGTTGATAATCATCTAAATGTTGATTTATTTCTAAATCAGCTTCAGATTATTCGGAGCGTTCATCTCTATAAATCTGAATATTGTCATTGTCCACCTGAACATCAATTTGTTGATGATCAATATTATCCTACTCCACCTCAATTTTAGTCTCTCTCTAAAGGTACTGTACCATTCTCTTTTTTTAAACAAGGTGGATCATTTTCATTAAACACAACATTTCTACTTAAAATGATCTTATATCATTTGATTTTCCTTACCCATAGTCTATACCCTTTCACTCTTTCACTATAGCCTAAGAACATATATTTAAGTGCTCTATGGTCTAATTCCCCTTTAGATTGATGGGCAAAAACTGCACACCCTAAAACTCTCAAGTTACTTAGGTCAACAGGCTTTTCATTCCACATTTCTTCAGGAGTTTTAAAGTGTATAGCACTAGAAGAACTTCTATTAACAAGATAACTAGTAGTTTTAACAGCTTCTTCCCAAAATAGCTTGGGAAGACCAGAACTTATTAGCATGCATCTAATTTTTTCAAGAACGGTTCTATTCATTCTTTCAGTCAAGTCATTTTGTTGTGGAGTGTGTGTAACAGTTCTGTGTCTTAATATATCATGCAGTTTGCACAACTTCTCAAACTCAAAATTGCAAAATTCCAAGTTCTTAATACTTTAATCCTTTTATCAATTTGGTTTTCAATAAAAAAATTTCAATCTTTAAAGGTAACAAAAGTATCGGATTTAGATTTTAAAAGAAAAATCCAATTTTTTATAGAAAAATAATCAATGACTAGCAAAAAGTATTTATAACCAATATGAGTAGACACAGAAGCTGCTCTCTAAAGATCAGCATACAAGTATTCAAGTATAGACACATTTATACATTCTAGGCAAAAAAAAGTAATCCGTTATACTTTCCTAGAATGCAATAATCATAAAAACTGAGTTTCTCAATGCTATCTTTTCCAAAAACACTTTGTTTTTTCAAAATCTGTAAACCTTTGTCAATAATATGACTCAGTCTTTTGTGTCATATTTGTGACTTATCATTTTGAATAGAGATTGATGCTGAAGTAAAGTCAAATAAGTTTTGAGTTTGCAAAATGTAAATGCCATGTCTCTTGGGGGCTTCAACAATCAAGTGTGAGTCCATCAAGATTTTAAAATCTAATACACCTAAAGAGATCAGATTTCTTTGAAAATCAAGAACGTATCCAGTCTTTTCTAAGACTAGTTGATAATTACCCTTTACTCTTAAAGTGATTGTTCATATTCCCTTCACTTGACATGTCATATGATTACCCATTAAAACTTGACAACCATTTACATTTTCAAAATTTGTGAGCCATTCTCTGTTAGGACACATATGGAAAGTGCACCTTGAGTCAAGAATCCATTCTGGACTAGGTTGATAGTTTACAACAACATAAACTTCATCAACATTGTCTTCACTGTTGCAGGCTAAAGCTGCATCACCGTCAATTTTACACTTATTTCTGTTATCTCTAAGTCTTTAGGGCAATCTTTAATAAAATAACCTTCTACTTGACAGTAAAAATATTTTTTACCTTTTATTTTCATTTTATCTTTCAGATTTCCCTTTTTCTTGTATCATAATCTCTTATTGACATTAACGTTCTTGGGATTAAATTTAGACTTAACCATCAAATTCACCCCACTGACAGATTCTTTCCTTTCAGATTTAAGCTTTCACTCCGTATTTCTTAAAGCATTAGTAATCACATTAGTAGTTAGAGTTTCCCTACCATATTCAATACTATTTTTCACATCTTTATATTTATCATCAATTGAATTTAATAAAACTATGGCCACCTGATCTTTTGAGAGTTTCTCATCACAATTGGCTAGTCACGAAATAATATGTCGAATCTATCAATATTAGCCTTAAGATCAAGAGATGGGTTCAGTTTAAAACCAAATAATTGTTTCAGAAGATATTCCTTGTTTGAAATGGTCTTATTCAAGTAAGCTGCTTCTAATTTTTTTTCCACAATTTAGTAGCAGGCTTTGTTTCACCAATTTTTCTTAGTACATTGTCAGATAAATGTAGAAAAATAGAGCTCCGTGGAATTTCATCTTGTTCGGTCACTTTACTAGATTCAAGATCAGTTGGCTATAACTCATCAATGACCTTTGCACATTTTTGTTGAAGTAAAAGTGCTTTCATTTTCTAGCACCAAAAACTAAAGTCTCATTTACCATTAAAAACTTCCAATTCAAATTATGAAGAAGTCACGATCAAAGTTTTGAATGAAAAATCAACGTATGTAGATCACACAGACACTTCAGAAGAATATACAACTTGTCATATTTTAGATATCAACAAACAAGAGACAAATCCAAGAAAAAAATACAGAGTATGTGTAACGACCTGGGTCCCACTTAACGGGCTGTCTCGACCGTTAGATCGACGACGTACTGTCCTCACTGTACCAACATGAGTCTTTTCAGCATGCTTTGTCCTCACTCGCACGCTCCCCGAGGAAAATTCATAGGGGGTCACCTAAGCTAAGCACACTTAACTGTAGAGTTTTATCAATATGGTCTTTTCAGCATGCTTTATCCTCACTTGCACGCTCCCTGAGAAAACTTCACAGGGGGTCACCCATCATAGAACTGCTCCAAGTCAAGCACGCTTAACTGTAGAGTTTCTAATGATGGACTTCCGAAAAAGAAGGTGCACCTTGTTGGTATGAGTAGTACCTATCAAATCTTTTAAACTTTCTTGGTCTGGGGTATTACAGTATGCAAAGTTGTATAAACAATTTTTCAGTATTTCACATGGGTTTATTCCAAGCAATACAATCATAGAAACGTCTTATTTAACAAGGATATGTACAAATTCTCACAATATGCAATATACGGTCATAAAGAACACACGCAGAGGATTATCATCTAAATCTTTGACTCAAAATCAAGGTATCCCTCAAATTCCAGATAACTCGTAGGGTTTCTGGACAAAGGTATTGCCTAGAAAAGTCCCACATATAAAGATTTAAACACGTTTGCAAGTGTCTTTAAAGTATAAGCAACAAATCTATACTTTAAACTGTAAAATAGGAATGAACTTACCAGATTCCTTTATTAGGGTTTCAAGAAATAAAATGAACAATTGAATCAAGTGTCAAACTTTCAGATCTACACAGATCAAGCCAAGAACCACCGTCTAACGCTCTGATACCACTGTTACGACAATGTTCAAAATATTAAACACTTTTAATCAACAAATCTGAAAGCAGCAAAGTACAAAAACTGAAAGAAAGCGTAAAAACACAATGATTTTCGCCATAAGACAAGAGGTTCAGAATCGGAGTTCCTTATCCCCTTTTGAACTTCCACCACCGAAAGAAATCACTATAAACCGAAATCAATAAACTGTCAAGAATACACTTGCAAAGGCACTCAGAAAACCACTCAAGATTTCATCAACACTAGCGTTTCGATCTATACAAATGTTCACTCAAGAACACAACTCTCAACACACATATAAACTACTCAAAATCTATACAAAGTTGATACAAAGAGAGGAGGAAAATCCTATAGACGAGTAGAGAGAGAGAGAGAGAATTAATAATCACTCAAACCCTAGGCAAATGAACTAATAATAGAATTCACTCAAAGGTCTCCGTCCAACGGTAATTGGGGCGACACTTGGCGATATCTGGGCTATCCAAATTCAATAACGAAAATCGCATTTCACCAAAACATGCTTTATTCCAAATAAGACAGCAGCCACCAAGTAATCAAAGAATCCGGCCCAAACAGGCCACTTAAGGTCAGCAAAACCAGCCCAACAAATAATAACCCAATCAGCAAAAAAATGATCATCATTGTGCCGCAATCTTCACAGTAATAATTGTTGGTTTCTATGGTGAATTCTCCTGCTGCTATTCCTGTATGATTTTTTATTTGAATCTATTGATGTTCATAAATTAAAATAGGCAGTACCTTTTTCTTGTTTATATGGAAGTATTCAAATGCTATGTTTTATTAAAAAAAACCTCGAAAGTTATGACCTAAGAAGAATCAGAACTGTAAAGTAGAAGTTTCTGATAAGTAACTTACCACGCACGATTAGGTTTTCGTTAAATTTCTTGGATGGGTTTCATATTCATTATTAGAATATTTTTCACATATATTTATGATTAGCAATTTTTCATATTTAACGTTATTGCGTCGATTTTGATTTATGAATGAAGTCTTTTTTATTACTTGTAGATGTCTGAATTTATGTCATTGGCGCTTGATTCAGGTCATGTAAATATTTCAACGACAGTCCAATTTTGAAGATAGCATCAAAGAAACCCATATACATATGCTTCATTTAATCAACACATACATAGAAATAGTTGTAGCTAAATTGTACGTATTAAACAGACTTTTAAGAAATAAAGTAAGTAAGATTTTATTACCTTTTTCACGAAGCATTAATTTGATGGCCGAACTAAGCAGACTGTGTTCTTAAGACATTCCAATATGCTTCCACGAAAAAGAAAATTGTGTACATATCAAGTGAAACTGGGAGTTCCCCCAAACACTTCAGAAGGCAAAATGGCTGCATATTATCCAGCAGCCAAGATTCCCCCATGAAGCGGTCAGGGGAACTCTAGGGTTCACCTGATGTTAATTGCTACATGTTAAGATATTGCCATTCACCAGTGATATTTATAATGCACACAGTGGAGGTCTCTTTGCACTTCCATCGGTTCATATGAGTAGAATAGGGTTCGTAAAACCCTATTCAATCATCGAGGACGAGGACAACAGGTAAGGAATCGATATCAAATTACGTCTGAAAGGATAATAGAGACGAAAACCCTCAGGCAATGTACCTGGACGGGAATGTGGGTATTATTGAAAAATGAGAATCTTGAAAAATACTGTGTGGTCATCCCATATGCAACTCCTTTATTGGAAGGATTATGCTACTTTACATAAATATGGTGCATAAGAGACTGTATAAAATGATATAAAGAGAAAATATTTAATGAAAAACTTGATTATTTTAAACAGACAAATGGTAGAGCGTTACGTGCGTAACCCCTTAAGCAAAGCTTTATGTACATGTAGTAAGATCCTTATTGGAAACCTTTCCTTTTCAGCTTTCTCTCAGATGGCAAGCTATTTGATATTCACCAAAAATTCAGCATTGAATCATCGACCATCACTCAATCCAGATTATGAGTTTGAGCTCGACTAAAGTTCGAGCCATCGTCCAATAATCACCGAACTAAGTTACTGATTAAGCTATAAAGTCTACTAATTATGATTATTTTTCCTGTTCCCCATCATTAAATGGCTGCATCTGTTTGCATGATAAACATTTCTTAAATTGGTGGTTAGATTTATATTATCTTTTAATGTCATTGTTACTCTAATTAATTTGAAATTAATTGTTGCAAGTGTAAGTCTTATCTATTAACCAGTCAACATACACTAAACTATCCAATCATAAGATCATAAGTAAGGAAGCATTTACTAAGAATAAATGATCATTTATTAACCAATGGATATCTAACCATAGACTTTGCAAGGAATTATTCTTCATTTCTTATGTGACACAAAATACAGACCAGGTTCAAGATAGAAAAGAACTGTAGCAATTCTCAATATTTACGTATATATTCTGAGATAGAACCAACATGATATGACGTGTTTCAATGAAACCGGAGATCATTAGTAAATAGAAAACCTCGTTACTATTCATGAAAACTATATGTCCTTGTCGACTTTCAACTTGTGTTGACCGATCTGAGGTTTATCCTTGTAGCTTCAAATCTGCCTTGTGATAAAAAACCGTGACCTTAGTAAATTATGTTTACACAATTTCACTTGACTATGTATACTATTTACTTGGGGCATTAAAACTGTAATTGAAAATGTTGTCGGTCATATATTTATTTCGAGTATATGAACCAAATTTAAAATGCAGGTTAAATGACGAAATAAAGGGAAGGTACAGAAACAAAGTGAGTATAGCATCCACATGCATCTTTTCGCCCACCACTTTTTCAGCTCTCTTTCGACGGAGAATCCACACTCCTAACTTGTGATTTCTTCATTCATCCCACATTTGCGACTAGGTTCGGGGGACTACTACGTACTTTCATCTTCAAGTTTTTTTCCTCCATAAATAGTGACCGAAACTCGATTCTTACGACATATTTACTAAGTTTGAGCTATATATACACACACAATCATTTGATATTATTTATTCAAGAAGTGAAAGAAATATATATGGAGTTAGTACAATGCATCATGTTTCACCTTGAGTTCCCTTCAATCACTTCATTGCTAGTGTTCTATTTAAAGAACAATATGTAGTACTGAAGTGTTTGGGGGAACTCGTGATGTTACTTGATATAAACTAGAGGAATTTTTGATAGTTATGATGAAAATTACCGTATTTTAAAGTATTGCTACGTGCTACAGCTTGTCGAATGATTTAATTCTCATGGTAATTTTTCCCTCTATTTACATTGACTAATTCTATGTTCGTATTTTCTAAAAAAAGTTACTAACAATTTTATTTTTATATCCAAACGATGTCAAATATTTATTCTAACCACAGTAAGTTGAAGTATCTCCCTCTCTTCAGAGACGTTCCGAAATGGGTAAAACATTAGCGACTACTACACATTTAGTAAGGTACACAATTATTCCTCCTAAAACGTTACTAATAGTTTTAAAAGAATAGAGCTTAATTTCGATGTTATGGTTTTTTTTGTCTTGGTTTCATCATATGGAAAACACGAGTGTTGAGCACGAAGTGATAAACCTGGCTGAACACTTGAAATTAATAGGACATACAACCTAGTATAGAAGTTCTACAAAGGCTAATGGTAAAATGGAGGTCGAAGAAATAGAGAATTAAAAATATAAATTAGATAAAGCAATAATTAATCAACCAAGAAACTTTAAAAAATCATTACTCGCAAAGGTTGGTTTGCATCTCACAATCCTAGCTAGTTTAACACTTTGCTGGGATTGTGACAAAGTAGTGAACCAGTAGAGAAAACGTATTCTCGTACTATCTTTGCATTTACTCTCAAACCATCTCGCTCCAAAATATAAAAATATAGACCTCAAAAAAACTAGCAAACCATCTTCTCCCCTACGAAGTTTTTGGTCTAAGCTGAGAGTTGAAAAATAAGCATAAATATTCAATATTGGTTAGAATTTTATGAAAAGTGTGTTCAAAATGTCATTATCTTGATAAAATGAAAGTATAAAATTTGTGAAGATATAAATTAAAGGAAGTTTAAATCTAGCTATTCAAGAAACTAGCAAGTTCGATAATATGCTATCCCAGAGATAAAACTAGAAGTAATGCTTTCAGACATTCCATGAGGTAACCAAATAGCAAAATTAGTAAAAGATGGACTCTACAAAGAAGCCACTGCACTTTACACAAAGCTCCATTCTGCCTCGTTACCTCCCACCAAATTCACCTTCCCTTACCTCCTCAAAGCATGCGCCAAGCTCAATGCCGTTTCCAATGGTAAAATGTTTCATGCCCACCTCATCAAAACTGGGCATCAAACCAACATGCACACAGCCACGGACCTAACTAGCATGTATATGGAATTTCACTTATTAGATGAGGCCATCAAACTGCTCGATGAAATGCCTGATCCAGATATAGCTTCCATTAATGTTGCTATTTCTGGGATTTCAGAATGGGGATTGCGAAGAAGCTTTCAAAATATTTAAACTAATTAGTGTTGGGAATGTTAGGCACGACTCGGTGACTATAGCTCCCGTGTTGACTTCGTGTGGTGATGTTGTGAATGGCGTGCAAGTGCATTGTTTGGCAGTCAAGATTGGTGTTGAAATGGATGTTTATGCTGCGACGTCTCTTATGACAATGTATTTTAGTTATGGAGGTTTGGCTTCTGCAATAAGGTTGTTTGGATTGATTAACGATAAAAATTTGGTGTGTTATAATGCTTATATATCAGGGCCACCGCAAAATGGGGTTTATGGATTGGTATTAGATGTGTTTTAAGGAACTGAGAAAATGTTTAGACGATAAAGCTAATTCAGTTGCCCTAATTTCAGTTCTTTCTGAATGTGCAAATGTTAAGTACATCAAATTTGTTATGCAGCCTCATGCCTTTATAGTTAAAGCTGACTTAGATTCAGATTCTAAGGTTGTAGGATATGTACTCAAAATGTGGGTCTTGGCATTGTGCGTACGACTTCTTTAAAGAAATGATTTATAAAAGAACCCTGGTGACTTGGAATTCAATGATCACTGGAATGACGTTGAATGAACAGATTGAAATGGCCGTTGAACTCTTTGTCCAGTTGGATTCTGAAGGATTCAGACCAGACTCGGTGACATGGAATTCAATGATAAGTGGTTGTTCACAGTCAGGAAAGGCCAACGAAGCCATCATGTTCGTCAGGAAGATGGTATCTTGTGGTGTAACACCAAGTATGAAATGCATCACTAGCCTTTCACCAGCTTGTTCACTTCTTTCTGCCTTGTCTTATGGAAAGGAGATTCATGCATATGTTGTGAGGACTGAGACCAATAGTGATGAATTCATTGCTACTGCAGTCATTGACATGTACATGAAATGTGGGCAACCTTCAAAAGCACACGGTGTTTCAATCAGTTTAGAATAAAGCCTAATGATCCAGCATTCTGGAATGCATTGATGTCTGGATATGGAAGGAATGGGGAGAGTGACGCTGCATTTGAAATATTCAATCAGATGATTGAGAACAAAGTTGAGCCAAATTTAGTTACTTTTAATTGCCTTTGTCTGTTTGTAGTCATAATGGTCATACTGGTCAAATTGAAAAAGGATGGCAGATTTTTAGATTGATGAGTGAAGACTATGGTCTAAATCCAACTGCCGAACAAATCAATGTCATGATTGATCTCCTTTGCCGATCAGGCAGGCTGGGCTAAGCTGGGGAATTATTAGGGATATCTGAAAGGTCTGCATCTGTTTTTGCTTCTTTGCTTGGAGCTTGTAAGTATTATTCAGATTCCAAGCTGGGAGATGAAATGGCTAAGAGAATTTCAGAGTTGGAGCCTGAAAGTGCAATTCCCTTTGTCATCTAGTCCAACATACACGCTGGACAAGGGAAGTGGAAGGATGTGGAGAAGATCAGAACGATGGTGAGGAAGAAAGGACTTAAGAAACTCCCCAGTTTTAGTTTGACAGGAGAGTGACATAAAAAGCTAGAAGACAGATTATTAATTGGCTATTCTTTTAACAATCGGAAGCAGGAGCAGTCAATTCTACTTTGATTCTTAGTCATGCTACTCTAGCTCCATAGAAAATCCCACGGTTTTCAAAGCCTCAGATTTTTGGACATGCCTGGAGTGAAATGACGAGTTATTTGAGGCTCCTCTACAGGCTGGCTGGTTATACTTCAGCTTCATGTACACGCTGCTCCAAGATAGGTAATCATCTATACATTTGTAACTTTAGGCGCGTCGTATGCTACTTTACATGTTAGGTGAGCTTTGCATCAGGTCAATATTGAAGACTATGTTTGTAGAGCTAAGCAACTGCATTGTGTTGGTTTTCCAAGTTCGAGCTCTCCTATCTGCTCTTTGGGTGAATTACCTTACGAGTCCATCTTCCTAGCTAGGCCTTGTTTGCCTAGAATACAGCTCGACAGTGCTAAATGGTTGACCTCAAGTCGTCTATTTTGAACGGGACATGTTGTCACTCTGGAGATGATATGTCTTGCCATGTGAGATGAGCACAGCTGGTCAGCAGGTTGTGCTAGACGCTAATGACATCAATAACTGGTCAGCAGGTTGTGCTAGATGATTAGCCCCGTTTGGCCCCCATTATTCGAGATTTTAATTTTTGAAATAGTGTTTTTTAGAGAATGACTGATTGAAAAAGAAGAAAAAAATTTCAATTTACGTGTAGTATTATTTTATTGAAGAATGTGTGTTGAAAAGAAGATGAAGAAAAATGTAATAAAATTTTAATGAAGGCCAAACGATTTATCGTAAACTCGTGAAGTTTAACTTCATGTAACTCATTGAATATGAATTTTTCGAATAATATAGTATAATAATTCTCTAATTATCATAAAGGTGATTTGATTTTATATATTTGACTTCGTACTCAGATTTTTATTCTTTTATCATAATGTTAAATCTAAATGATGTTATGTTAGTTTATGACATAAATCACGTCTACCATTATGCCCAAATAAAGTTTTGCTTTCTTTCTTTTCTTTTTTCAACTTATACCCAAATAAAAATTGGCTAGCCTGTATCCCACATTATATATTTTTTATTCAAAAAGAAAAATTAATAAAATCTTTAAATAACTAGTTGTGTAATATATATTAATTTATGAAATCATATGAATCGACGATTAGATCTGAGTCATGAGATTTTTGTTACAAAAGTTTTGGAAAATTATTAGATTGTATAAATCGATTATTAACCCAAGTCATGGGTCGGTTTTCATACCAAGCATAACTCAATACAAGTTAAAAATGGAAGTCTCAAGCACAAGATACATCAAGGTAAGGGTGTAAATTTGGCTCGTCGACTTGGGCAGCCTGTGATTTGGCTCGGCTTGTGGCTCGAAAGAATCGAGCCTCATTTTGGGGCGTCGCTCGAGCCAAGTCAGCCCGTTGGCTCATCCAGCCCGTGTCACGAGTCATTTTCAACTCGTAACAAGCAGAGAATTTAAAAAAAAAAGGTGGGAATGGTACTACTGCATTGTGCGGCAGCTAAGTGGTTGCCTCTTAAGACAGCAATCTGTAGTTGTAGGCAGCAAACTGCGACTTGTTACGACAGCAATAGCTGCTTTGACATGTATAAAAGTTCGAATAATTTTTATTCGAGCGGAGCTCGAACTTCGAGTTTCGGCTCGCGAGTCAATTCAATTCGACTCATTGACATGCCTGCATCATGGAACATTTTACAAGTAAATTTTCTCATTTTGTATTTTTTTTCTCAAAGCAGGTGAAAGAAATGAAGATAGTGGTGTCAACCGAGCCGAGCGGCTCGTCGGCTCACCCGCTCGGCTCGTACTGTTCACGCCCACGAGCCACTCGGGCTCTCTAAAAAGCGAGCATGAGCCGAGTGGGCTGGCTCGTCACTATTCACGAGCGGCTTGTCGAGCCGCTCGTCTATTAGTGTGTGTGTATATATATATATATATATGTGTGTGATTAGAACGGTCACTGATTCAGTGACCGTTTGGTCACTATTTAAAAAAAAAAAATTATTACTTTTCTAGTTTTCTTCTCCTACAAATACCCAATCCATTACAACATTTTTTTCCCACCAAACTTTCATTCTATACTCTCTACTCTCTACAATTTAAAAATCATTATCAACAATATCATTCATTTATTCTATAATTCTCTTCTACCTTTTTTACATTATTATCTTAATTTTACAACCCATTTTATATACTAGAATATAATTTTCATTCACTTCTCAAATCTACATTTCTACATTCTATTTCAACATTCAATTTCAACAATTCACAAATGGATCCACGAGCATTTGTTGAAAACTTGTTTGATATGGAAGGCGAAACACCTGCCCAAAATCAATTTGGGAATGAATTTGCCGGTCTCTGAATTACCAATTCCAGAAGACATTGAAGATTTCAACGTTCGTGAAGGTAGTCATCCCGATCCAATTGATTTAGAACAAGATGAAGAACCTATATTAAATATTCCCGATGCAAGAGGGAAGAGAAAGGGGAAGAAGCAGGTAAAATGTTGGGACCATTTCAAATTGGTTAACACTGGTCGTGTGACGGATGGACTTCCAGAAACGAAAGCAGTATGTAAATACTGTCAACAACGACTGGCATGGCAAAAAGGTATTGGAACCACTCACCTCAACCGTCATTACAAAGCATGTGCGGCCAAACATGGGCTTCTTGAACGTGGACAAACGCAACTACAGTTTGGTACTAGTAGAG